TGGGAGGGGTTGTGGGGCTTGGGCCTCGCTTACCCTCCTCCCTGCTCCCCTGGTCCCCCATCCCTGGGGCCATTTGTTAAAAAAATAATAATAATAAAAGAATTTAAAAAATATTTCCAAAATGATTTCAGGGGTAGGTTGGTTGCTTGCAATCTCTTCTGTCATGCATAATACAGTGCCAAGTAATCCGTTGAGTGGGTTCAGTCGGAAACTAATTGCTACTTATCCCCAGTGATCTTTTCCTAACTTCTTCACAACTTAACCATTTTATTGTATCTTTCAAGTTTTGTGCGCCAGGAATTAGAGCTGGGCTCTGCTAGGCAAATCTTTTTGTGCCAGCCAGTTAAGTCAATTGGTTAGTCTGCAGCTGACAGCTGGGCTGGTCCCATAGAGCTTCCCTCATGTGTCTGGGGCCTTGGTGGGGCATTTGGACTTGTCAACCAGTGGCCATGTGACTCCTCCAGCAAGATGTTCTAGGAGTCATCAGAGCTCTTTTGCCCATGAGACAGTATTGCAGATCCTAGTGGAACCTTCAAAGCTTATGGCCTGGACTTTGAGTGTGTCGGCCACTTTATGTTGACCCAGAGGCAAGCTAAAGTGGGGCAGGGGACAGCAACTGCATCTCAAAAGGAGGAATGAAGAACTTGTAGCCACGTGTCACTTTGGTCCCATCTACAAACTGTGCCTCTATAGCTGTCATGGACTTGACATTCAACCATGTGAACAGTGGGCTCCCTGAACTGGGTAAACAAGTTCTAGTATTGGTCAATCTTGGTTGAGCTATATGGCTGCTGCTGCTTGGGAATTACGTGTTTTTTTACTGGACAGTTTGAGAGTCCTCTCCTGGCATGCACCTGGAACTTGGGTATTACATGCAAAATGCTTCTGCATGCAAAATTAATTGAAAACGCAACTGTCCAAAATGCACATTGTAGTGTGCTGTGCGAACAGTGAACGTGCTAGTGCACTTTCGCTCCCGGGGACATGGTCAAAGCTGGCTGCCCTAGGGATTATTCATTTTTAAAAGTCAAGTTCAGGGAAGATGAAGGGGCTCAGTCTAACACAATTTACAGACAAGGGGGCCAGGAAAATCTGACTTTTATTTCTTAAATACTGTGAAGGAAGAGGGGGAAAATGGTCCCCGATGAGGGCAGGCAAAGAGCTAGGGATCCTCAGCAAAGGCCCGATGGGCATTAGGGAAGCGCTGGGGGCTATAGTTGGGATCTTCCTGCAGTCGCTTCTGTATATCAGCCCGGAGCTAGAAAAAGAGAGCAAGCAGGTTGGAGGAGCACTGGCCAAGCCCCTAGGATCCCAGCAAGCACGCAAGGCCATCCCTCAGAACTAATACTTCCCCACCAGCTACACATTGTCAGTAGCCCAATAAGGCATCACTGAGCCTTCCCATATGCCACTAGGGGAAACACCTTAAAAACATTAAGTGGTAGCCACAGACTAACCAGTTCATCTCTGAAGGGATCTGAGGAAGAGGGGCCCTAGCCCAACCCCTCCCACTAGACCATCCCTATTCTGCTTCAAGGTGGGGGCACCTGCTGCCTGTAGCTCTCCTGAACCTCTGGTGCCTCCAGGTCCCGGCTCAGGCTCTCGGGGCTTGTCAGGGGCCGAGCTCCGGCTGCCTTAGCTGCCCGGCTCACAGCCTCTGAGAGAAGCAGCTGGGGGCCCTCACCCTGCATGGTCTGGGGGACGGGGTTGGGAGGGAAAAGAGGATCGACGTCAGATCCAGTGCCACCACCCAGCTCACCCTCTCCACGAGCCAACCAGCCTCCACGCTAGGGAGAGAAGGGAAATAGTCCACGTGTGGTTTTACCGGCAGAAATGCCTTCCTAATACTATTTGGCTCTGGCCAAAAACAGCATTTAAATGTGTTGGACTTGCTCTTCAAAACAAGAAGGGCAAGATGGGTCAATCCATCCAGCATTCAAAGCTAGCTGGTCCACAAAAGGAAGCCCGCCATAAGGAAACAGACCTAGTCACGGAATTAGGCAGCTGCGGGATGACGAGGCTGCTGGCAAACAGACTAACTAATGGAGCAACCATGAGCAAGTCTGAGTCCCAGAAAGGTTTCCCCATCAAACTAGAAAGAACTCCTTCAAGCTCAGTTTAATTCTAAGCATGACAGGAATTTGGAGAAAGAGGGATCCTCAGGGAAGAGGCAAACCCACCTTGCGTCTCTTGGCAGGCATACCACTGAGGTAGGCATCACTCAGGGGGGGCTGGGGTTTCACCTTCCGCTGGCTCTGAATGTCCTGCTGGATAATAGGGACCCACTCCTGGGAAAGAAAAGATGATTAGAAAGTAACTGCCACAACTTTCCACTGCCTTGGCCCACCAATCACCTAACACTTACTGGGGGGACTGCAGCTGCCCAAGGTTCTGTCTCAGCTGAAGCTCCATCCTGTTCATCTCGGGAGCTCCCTTCAGGGGCAGGAGGTGGACCTCGGGACATAGCCTCTTCTGCTGTTGTTCCAGGGGCTGGGGAAGCATTCTCCCGCTGCAAGTCAGACAGCAGGAAGAGAGAGAATTCTCACCCCCAGACCTCCACACTCTCTGGCCCCTCCACCCCCAGACCTCCACTCTCTCTGGCCCCTCAACCTCCCCCTAGTACCTGAGGCTCAGGGGAAGTTCTCTCTGATCCCTGAACTTCCATTGGCTCCTCAGAAAGTGGCTGTAAAATTGAAGAGAGAACACAAAAGGGCCTCAAATCTCTCCAGTTCCCTCAAGTCCCCTGACCCCACAGCCCATCATCAGGTCCTTTTACCTGCGGGGGGTCACCAACCCTGCGAACATATCTGAGGATGGCATCTGGGCCTACAGGCATGTGCTCCAGTACCACCTGAAGCCTCAATCCCATCATAGTGGTCAGCCAGCTCACCAAGGATGGATTCACCCCACGAGACATGCGACGCTGAGGGGCAGAAAGCAGACTCAAACACACAACCCTCAATCAGCTTTTGAAAGGTCTCAAAGGATAAAGGATGGCAGTTTGGAGAAGAAAAATGAAAACTGCAAGATACCTAAGAGAATGGAAACCTGAGGAAACAAAAGGCTGGGGATCTGGGGCTGGGTGGTGCTTACAATTCGGCCATTGATGACAGCAGCTAGCTCCATCTGCTGTCCCCCCAAGCAATGCAGGTTCAGAGCCAGGCATTCAAACAGGCCCTGGTTACACAACTCCAGCAAACGGGCCCCAAATCCACTGTCTGTGGGCGATACGTAAGGAGGGAGTGCTGGCATCCGCAGCCCTGCACATCACCACGCCCACTCCCTGGACCCGGGCGGCCTGACCTGTGCAGTGTAGAACATGAGCAGCAATGCTATTGAACTGCTCCTGCAGAAATTCCAGATTCGTCCGGATGATGTCCACACCTGGCTGAACTTGCACCAAAGACTGAGAGACAAAACACACAAGGAACCAAAAATCAGGAACGCCAAGACACAGAGTGGGGGGGGCAGTAGAAACAAGCTATCCTACCACACCCAGGAGAGGATGGGATGGGGAAGGGTTACTCACAAAACTCTCCCGAACATATTCTTCCAGCCCAGTGATCAATGTGTGGGTTGCCATCTATGGAGGCAGGGGGGGAGGAACAACACAGGTTTAAATTCAAGTCCCAGCCCTCAAGACACTTCCCCCTCCACTCCAAACAAGCCCAAGACTGCTTGGGCTGGGACAGTCATAGGTTACAGGTGACAGATACACTGAGTGAGGAATAAGGAACTGAAGGCGGGGGAAGGACAGCTCTGGAGCCCAGGTCTTCATTTACCCGGATGTTACCAGGTGTGGGCTCCTGGCCACCTAGGTAGTGCTGGTGGAAGAAGGATCGCAGCTGGGGCTGGAGCCGTTGCAGTGGCTGGAAATGCCCGTGGAGAAGCATCACCACATCCACCATGGAAAAGTTCTGGCACAGAAGAGAGAGCAGGGCCCCAAAGAATCCTGTGGACAGGACAGAAGTTAGCAGTGGTCTTTACCACCTGACCGGCCCACCCACCCCAGACCACCACCCTCATACCAGCTGGGCTATATCCCTACACACAGATCATCTACCTTCCACTGGCTGCCCTTTCCTGGACAAGGACAAGGCACCCCC